GGTTTTAGGTCAACTAGGTTTGGGAAACAAAAGTGTTTTAATTATTATAGTCTTGTTTTCTATAATAACTCTACCACTTAAATTGGCTTTATAATAAAAAAATCTGCTCATTTATTCTCCACCCCCACAAATATCTCATGGAAAAGTGAATATTGTCTAGCATTTGCTTTAAGGTGGGCCATGTAGCCAAGCTGCTCAGAGTAGAATGCCTGCAGTAGCATTGTTTGGAGGCTTGTTTGAAAGGCAGAATCTGGGGCCCATCTCTCACTCGCTGAATCAGAACCTGCATTTGATTAAAATTCTGACTGTGTGCACAGTAAGTTTGAGAAGTGCAGCTCCAGGAAGTCCTAGGCTTTTTTGTAGGGGTCCCCAAGAAAACAGGAAGGTAACAGAGAGGGACACAAGGTCTTTCCCTTATGAAAATCATTCTGTAATATATTATTTTGTGAGTTTTGCTTTCTGTGAATGTTTCTTTAAAGGAAGAAAAATTTGAAAAACCCTTCCTTAAGGCCGATTAATTCTTCATTTTGAATGAGCTCATCTCATTGTTTGGGAGGAAACAGGTGTTGTTCAGGGGTGTTAGAGGAAGGGCGACTCCCATGAAGGAGAAGCTGGAAACTTGAATACCAAGTCCCCTCCCCAATTCGGTCACTTGTCCATGTTTGGAGATGGCGCCTGGTATTAGATGCTTGTTCTTTTAGGTCACATGCTTCTGGGGTCCTAGAATGAGCCTAAAATAACAAAACTGGGAGGGTGGGCCTTTAGAACAATTTCTTGGGAAAAGAAAAAGCCAGGAAGGCAAATCTGACCAGGAATAAAACCATGGTTCTCAGAGGGCAGTGGTGACTTTGAAAACAACATGATGGATTTCTCTGGGGTAATTTCTCTCTGGAGCCCACAGATAAGAGAGAGACAGGGACAGAATTGGGGACAGGGCCGTATCTAAATGTTGAATGAGCTTTTCACCCCCAATCTTGGGTAACTATTGGGACACAAGGGCCCTTCTATCAGAATGTAACCTGAAGGGAGAAGAAGCATTCCCTCACTTATCTTCACTTGCCCACAGACCACTTACCCCTTTCACCCACAAGGACTTGATCTCTGCAGTGATGCTGAGCTGGGGAGGAGCAGTGCCAGCTGGGCTGATGGCTGGGTCTGATGGAGAAGGGGAGCCAAGAGTGGAGCCTGGTATGGCATTGAAATGAGAAAACAACAGCAGCCAGTGGGCAGAGGCCATGAGTTTTTAAGTTAAGCACACAAGAGACATCTTCTGGTGACTCAGGAAAAGGTGAGGAAGGGGACAGTCTTCCAAAAGGATGTGTGAGCAGAGGTCTTGCGTGCAAGCAGGAGGCTATTGGAATTCTAGTTAATGTATTCACGCAACCCCCCTGGTATCTACAAGCAGATGAGGAACAAGAGATTGTGTTGAAGTTCAAAACGTAATCCCCTCCTACCACCCCTTCTCAGCTCCTTTAAATAGATGCATCAGAAGCCAAGTTCTCCTGGATAAATATTCTTTGCAGAGCATGCAGAGCTAAGAGACTGGGTCTCTCTAAAGTCTGGAGAAAGTTGTGCAGCGCGCTCCCCTCAGTTCTCACAGCGGGGTTGGTGGTCCCCCGAGGAGCACAGGTGGTGGAGGATACTGACCTGGATTTTCCTAAACCTCCAAACCACCTCACTGTGCTCAGCATATTCATGGTCCTTATCAAGCACTGGTCCACCCATTTGACTGGGTCACAAGCAGTCACGATGTCATCCCTCCAGTTCTGAATATGTTTCAGTAACTGCCACACCCTGGAAAAACAGAAATAGCTAAGATGTGCCTCTCAACCTTCCAAGCTTAAATCAAAGATGAATAATCTTATAGTTGAATGAGAAAATAATTATTGGTTCTAAATTAATACTTTTTGCCTTTTCCTCATGTCAAAACAGAAAGCAGTCTGTAGGCAGATTATTTTTGTCCCCAAAATGAAAGAACACAATTGAATAATAGCTGAGTAGTTGCACTGAGGCACGTGATTTTTTTCTTACTTATTTCTAGGCAAAACCCCAGGAGTCGAGCTTACATATCCCTACGAGGAGAAGAGTGTGAGTGGAGAAAATGTTCTTCCCATAACTGCTCTGGGAACTGCCTGCCACCCACCCTGCCTGTCGCTTAGGGCGCTGCCTCCCACCTTCTGGAATTTTACGTTGCTCACTTTGCCCAATGGCTCCAGGTGGTTCCAGGAACAATTCCATCCACAGGCCTGAAAGGTGGCTATGGTAGAAGATGCCTGGTTACATTCAGGTTCACTTACTGCCAGGAAGTGAATTCCAGCCTTCCTGCCTTCACTTAATTCCAGGGCAGCCATCATATGGCTCATTACCAAGATCATATACTGACCCACAGACAGAGAGAGCCGGTGATGAAAGCTGCCATCACAGTAGAGTAAGCCACAGTGTCGCTTTTTACTGAAGAAGAACTACTTCCTCCAATTCCTGATGATATTTTCTCTCTCGGTCTGGGAAGCATCACCACCACTTGTACCCTGGCTGGAGGAGACGCTTGCTCACTTCTACAAGCTCAGCCTCTGCTGTTCAGAACAAGCAGTTTCATCCGAAGCTCTGGAGGGGAGCGCCAGTGGCACGTGGCCTCTGAATTGTACAGTGTCCTGTACCGGCCTCCTGCACACAGCGGTGTGGATTCAGCGTGAGGAGAAGAGGAGTCTGACCTCCTTCCAATGATGCTCGCTGTGGAAACAGGTCTTTCCCTCTCAGGCTATCAGTATTACTACCTGGGGACATTACTTTGGAAAGGTCATTGCGAATAAATTTATGTTTATTTGTTTGAGGACAAAATGGTGTCACCTATGAGCTCTGGTGAGAAACTAGCAAAGATGTGCTTCATCCATTTTCCTAAAAAACATTTTAGAAATGTTTGTAGTACTCAGCAGGGAGCTGGCCATATAGCAGGCAAGTGTTTGCTGAGTGACTGAATAAATGTATAATGGCTCTGATGAAATGGTAGCAATGTTATGTTAAGGACAAAGATATGATTATGTGGAGTATTATTTGCAGATACAGACTATTTCATAAATGTGGGGATCATTACAGCTTTATAAATAGAAATCCTCTAATGTTATGAACCTATTAGTGTATATAACAAGCAGAGCTTTCGGGAGACTTATCCAAGTACAACTTCAAAGATAACCTTGGATCACATCTTTTGGATTATTTTTAAATGCTTAAATTTTAAGCATTGATTTGAACCCCAGCACATAGGGTTTATTTGGTGAAATACAAAGTCAATTTCACTTCTGAAGTGTTTCGTGCATTGGCCATAATGGAAGTTGAGCAAAAGTTGATTTCCTTCACCCCAAGCTTTTAACCTCAAGATGGTGTTTTATACTATTGTTATACTGTATTACTGTAATAATGCTACATCGATACTGGCTTTTTGTGATAATATCAGAATCTAAGAGCACCAGACTTCAGAGACCCCTGACTTTGACATAGTGGAAGCACTCGTGGCATTGCCGTTATTGGTGGAGAATGTATTTTTTCACAGAGGAGATCCTAATATAATGATTCACATTTCCTAAGCAGAATTACATTTTCTGATGTTCTGAGTCAGGTCCTATTTAAGAGTTCCACTTTTGTGGATCTTATAACGAAGCACTGATAAATACGAAATGAAAACTTAAAGATAACTGGTACCAGGACTTTATTAGGCATTTCACTGGATACAAAGAAACTTTGTCTTACATTAAGAACACAATCATATTTTAAAAATTCACATTTGCTAAACAGAATTGTCGGCATGTATTTTCTTTACACCACGTTTATTAAAGTATCAATGACCAGATCCTAAAAAGAGAAGGCACAGATCCGTCTCTCTCTGGTGAATTTCTGGAGACCAATTAGGGAAATGTCACCAGCTCTGCAAATTCCCATCCCTTAGAAATGAAGCAAATCAGCCCAAATGTGTGCAAGCGGGGCCATGAGAGGGAAATGTTATATTATAGGATTGGGATTTCCTTACCACTCATGGGAATTTCAAGAGAGGAGGTAGGTACCAAAAACGTTCTAAAACTCCATCCACATTCAGAACATGTCAAGGATGTGCTGTTGAACACAACAGTATTTGAACACTCTATTTTAGGAATTCCACCATGCTTCTCTTCTTGGCACACTGTTCTAGAAACTGGCCTTATACCTCCCGTTCTTACTCTGGGGTGTCTCGGGTTTCCAGTTCCTCAGGAAAAGTGCTGTTTGTTACAGTTTTCTTTGGCAAGTCTCTCTGCCACATGCTGACTTCCTTGTCCGCGTCCCCCACCTGCTGCCCAACCTCCACCAAATCTCCTGAGAAGGCACCCACGGGGCGTGTCTATTCCTCAGACTGTCTTCTTCTTCTGGCCATCAAGATGGTTTCTGTGTCAGATTTTTTTACAATTCCATTGATGGCCAGTTCTAGTATAATAAAAATAATCTGTGGTAAGGTGATAACGAGGCAAGTGACGGATTAGCTCGTTACCTCTCTAAAAGAAAAAGAGACTGAATTTTCAGAGGTCTTGGTACTAAGTTAGAAGGTGATGTAACTTTCTGGAGGCATTTTTCCTGGGTGGGTGTTTTGGTTGTCCCAATTACTGGAAAATGTTCTTTAAGGGAGTAATGGGGGACAATTTGCACCTCACAACAGGCCAATGGAGGGAAATATTGAATGTGGTGGCATTAATCTTATAAAGTTTACATCATTGCTAATTCCATCTATGTTTAAGGTCCTTCATAAAGCATTTGTGGGACTTGGCATGAATCAACAATGTCCTTCATGAAGGGTATTAGGACTATAGATACTTATGAGGTATCTTAACATGGTAAGATACCCCTTTTAGGTAGCCCCGCTGGAAAAGAGAAGCAGGATGAGTAGCATTGCCAGATAAGAGAAAAAAATTACAGGATGCCCAGTTAAACTTCCATTTCAGATAAGCAAACAATAGTTTTTTAGTATGTTTCATGAAATATTTGGGGAATTTCTATACTAAAAAATATTTACTATTTGAAATTGAAATTTCCCTGGGTGTTGCATATTTTATCTGGTAACCCTAAATATGGAGAAAAAAGCAATGAGAATGGAGAAAGAGAGGAAATAAGATTAACATTCTAGACCCAGATCCCAGGCCCAGGGATCCCAGGCCCAGGCACAGAGTTTTTGCCTTGAGCGTGAGAACCGATGCAGACGCTCGAACTAGTCAGGAGTTTTCTACTCCTGGACTACACATGGGCACCTAGCAAAAACTCAAAAGAGCGTTGCATGCTTGTTTTTTGGAAAGAAAACCATGTTGGGACCACTCCATGATGACAGGTCTTTAGCGACTCTCAGAGAGACAAGGCAGTTCATCTTTCTAGAGAAGATCCAATTTTTAAAAAGTCATGCTTTGCAGAAACAATGTTTTTCATGGACAACTTATCTTCCTAAGCAAAATGGGTTCTATGTTTGGAAGAGCAGCTTCAGAGGTGAGCTGGCTCTGTTGGTGATAGAAACAAGTGCGACTTTAATCGCATTGTATGACTATGGGTTTAATGAGTTAACGGACGTTTGCAACCTCTGAGAAGCATGGGGTGCTCCCCAAGCTGAACTGTGGTCTGTGGTTTGTGGGAAACTCAGATAAGTTCTGAAGTACATCCCTCAGATGATTGTTTAAAAGTCACTTTTAACAAAGACATAATTTCTCTTTAAATTTTAATCCCAAATTGCAACAAAACAACAAAAAATGGCAATGAATTAAGGCTGGTCATAATGTGCCCTTTTTCTTTAGGATAAGTTTGATTTTCTTAGAAGATACAATACGCTTACACACAAATCACATACAAGCAGATACTTTTGACTCATACAAATATACATGTAGAACTGATACCTAAAAATAGTCTCACGCATGAAATAAAAATTGCACAATTATCAACAGACTCAATCAACACAATTTACAAATGATACAGAACATTTTGCCATTGTCATGGGGGAAAGGAAACAAACAATTTAGAGCATCATGTAGAACTGCACGGACCAGAGCAGCCACTGATAAGTTATGGCAAATACAGCATTCACATTATTCTGTCACGATTGTAATGGAAAAGACTGAAGTACAGTAAAATAAAAGACTTTCAAAACCTTGTTTAGCATATCCTGAGGGGCACTGTGCATACGTTTCATTAGCAGGTCAAAAGGCGAGCACTCTGGCTAAGGAGCCCTCATTGGCATGAGTGAGACTGTGCCCCTGCACCTGCAAAACTGTAGAACTGAAAAACTCATGAAAACATGCATTTCCTGAGACTTCCAACTTTCCAGCCTAAAAGCCAAATGGGGGAAGGGGGGGTCTGAAGAGATAACCCTGGCTAAATTAAGTCAGAACCTCAAAGAACTTAAAGCAACTTTAAGTAAAGATCAGGATTGGTTGGTTTGTCCTTTATATTCAATTCCACGTTCAATTCACCAGCTTGAGGGGTAATTGACAATGTGGTGAGACTATTACTGCTAGGCATTTCTTATTTATCATGGTCTCATTTTTCTTCATTGGTTTTCTAGTGATTTTTCTCTTCTTAAATAATTAATATTGGAATTCAGTTTGTGCCTACTCAGATTGGAGGCATTGATTTTAAGAGTTAAAATGGCAACAGAATTAGGTTGAGTGGTAACAGTTTCAACCGGAATAATGTGTGAGTGTGTATTTGCATGTGTGTAGACACATAGGTGTATACATGCCAAACGCTTTATGTTCCAGTACATTCACTGTTAGGAGTCACTCCATGAAAAGTGATTTTTCCCAATATGGCTGAAAGTGAAGATTGAGGTCATCATACAGAATATCCTAAGGCTTTTAAAAGATGCCTCCTCATCTCTGCCCTCATATGATTGTGTAGTAATAAGGGAGACATAAATGATGATGGCAGGAGCACTTGGTTTGGTCCTTCAACATGATGGACAGGAAAGCAAACCAAAAAATGATACTCTTGGCATATTTTCCCTCATCCCATCCACTCTTTTGACTTTCTGCTGTCGACTGGGTAAAAGTTGAATTTTGTTTCTGTTTTTTGTTTTGCAGAATTTGTGGCACAAAGTCTTAAGAAACAAGCAAAACAAAAAGTGTACCAAGAAGTATCTCCTACCATCTTGGGGCCTCTCTGTAGCCCTTGACCCCTAGCTTGTCTGGAAAGATAGTGCCCGGCCAAGACAAAGAAGCATAGGCTGAGAGGGTAAGCTCTGATTGCATCTCCCCAGCCCTCGCTTCCATCTCTTTATTTAAGGCCCACAGCCAGCTCCCAAAGTGTGCTCCAGTGCAGGGCCAATAAACAGAAGGCAGCCATAGGCATGTTCTCTTTATTCCCCTCTCAAAGGAATCCCTGCTAGTGAACTCTCCCCAGTTGGAAGGCCCACAGTTCATTTCCGCATGCTTCCTCCTTTAGAAATTAAGGCAAGTCCCTTTCCTCACGGTGCCTGCTACGTAGGTACTGTGTATCCATGTGGAAACAATAACATTGGCTTGAAAGTACCATTTGTCAAACAAGTTTCTTTGTGCATATCATTAGCGGCAATAGAAAACTTTCTCCAGTTAAGAAATTGCACAATTAGTTTAATCCTTCAGCATGTTTGTTTTTCTTCCAGCACCAAAATGACAAATACAACAAAGCTAACTCTAAGCAAACTTTATAAGAAAGCATCTAAGTTCAAGAAAATACAACATAGTTACCTCTGTATTTTATTCATTTTCCATGAGTATGTGGAAATATCTGTTTCCTGCCATATTTATAAGTTAAATCATTGTGTCATTTCAAGTGTGCTTGGCTAAAGATCCTCCTGAGGAATGATAAATAATGAATAGTCAGAGAGAAAATCTGCCCCAAAAGCAAGTTTACAGGACATAAATTTCAACAATCCACAGTCCTTTAAAAAGGATCCCTGTTCAGCTGTACACACGGAACAAGTAAAAGGGATAAAAAGACAATAAAACTACAAAGCAAAAAGAAAACTATCTTTGCAAATAATTTAGTTCCAAGCTAGATTATCTTTACAAAAATATCTGAATATGATCAGCAACTCTACTTTCAAAGGTCTCCCCACTGTTTTTCATATATTGTTAAGGGTCTCACAGTCTGAAAATTAAATTACTTAATATTACCAATGTTGTCCACTGAAAAGAAGAATTTGACTGTGTCTGTCCATGTCTGCATGTGTTTGTGTGTGTTTGTGTGTCTCTGCCTGCACAGGGGTGGGTATGTAATGACACATCGTGGGGGTGAAACATACACACCGCTGGAATGCAGAACATATCTGTTGTGTGTATATGCATGCTACTTGGTCTGCCACACATACTTACACACTTTTCATAAGCATTCTATTCAGTATTAACAGTATTTTTCTTCCCTGCAGTTGCTAATGAATAATATTTTCTGATAATGAGCATTTATAATCTTATCAACTCTTAATTATTTATAATCTTGACATACACAATCTTGGAATCAACTCCCTTGCCTAGGTCTAAGAGATTTAACCACATGGCTGACATTTAGATTAATTAAAAGCCGAGGGCATGCTTTTATTTCTCTATGGCCCTACTATACATGGACTGTGTTTTCCCAAGAAACTACTGAAGTGTAATTATTTCTAAACATGAAGATAAAATAATTCATAACTGTAAGAATTTCAGTGAATTTTACAGATTTTTATAAATGTCTCACAAAATTCCTGTGAGGCAAATAGGTAAAGGTTATTATTTTAGAGTTGTTAAATATCACAGAGACAGCAAGGACGAAACAATACTCATGGTCAAGTTATCATTTTTCTTCCCTGTACAACTGGACTGTCAACCTTTGAGCCACTGGAACATTCCCCTCTGCCTTGTCCTTGACCCTGGGGGAGGACGGAACCCAGAAGGGCCAAATCAGTTTTCATTCAGTCTGCTCAGGTCATACATATTTAAGAATCTGCCGAAGATGGTTCATAGATCCTTGAAATCTCACGGACATGGTCAAAAGCATTGTTCTGACTTCTGTCACCCTTCCTTTTCCTTCAACTTTAAGGGTAAAAAAAACCCTCAAATGAAAGCTTCTTGAAATATGCTTCTCAAAATCTGGAATTTAGATTTATATCATTGGAAATTCCTATTTGATAAGAAAGCTTGCACAATCTTTTATTTCTTTCCTCTTTCTGTTCTTCCCATTTTTAAAAAAGATCACATGAATTGTTAGGAGAGCTTTTGTAAGAAAACACTTACTTTGCAAAGTTTTCTGATTTTACCACACTCCTCATTCACAATTTTTCATTTACTAGATGTTTGCAGGGCACTATTATGAAGAGATTCTTGAGTTAAAATAGCAACCATCCCCCACCCCTATTTTTCACTATAGAGTTGGCACAAATAGTTCTTCCACAGAATTGTTTACTCTATATTTATAGCTGCCTTAAATAGAAATACTGTGAAACACTATTATTTTCACATAACACAAAAATCACTGGTTACAGCCTCCAATTATTACTGATGCAGGGAAAATGACTTGCATATTTTCCATGACCAAAAGTTAGCAATGATCGCCCAATTGCAGATGACTACAGAATATTATGCCAAGTCCCACACAACAAATAAATTTTAGTGCAACAATGTAATACATGTTCTGTTGGGACATCCCATTGTTTTGAGTCCCATCCAGCAACTGATTGAAAAGAGAGCACGAGAGAGGGAGCGGGAAAGTTCAATTAGAGGATCAGAGAGCGCATAGGAGATCTAGGTGGAAACCAGAAACACAATCAAGTACACACTTGCAAGTTATACGTTACGAAGACTAATTCTGAAAAACAAAATTCACTGGTCTTTTGTAAAACCTCTAACACTAGAAGTAGGTTTTGCTCATCCAATGGGAAATGAAATATTTATACTAATGCAGACTATGATAATCATCACTCAAGAAATGGATTCCCCCTTTTCCCACCCACTACCAGCCCCAATTCCCGCCGAGACTCAGTGGAATAGGAAGATCAGCGTGTTTGTCAATAATATGCCTAATACGGTGTGTCTTCTCTATCTTACTCGTGAATGCTCAGAACAGTACTATCAAGTGTTGGCTTCTCCTTCATCGAAGACATAGTTGAGCTTTATGACGGTGCTGATGAAATCACCAAGTTCTACAAAATCGGCAGTGACGATATTGATGCCACTCTCGCCTGGCTTCTGGGTGCGGACCCACTGCATCATGGCAGGGAGAGCTCTGCGAAAGGAGAGAAAAAGAGAAGTCACCAAGGGCAAGGTACTGCCTTTCCAGCTCACAATCCCCAGGCTTCCCTTTAGTATTCTACCTTATTAAGACAAACGTCCCAATTATAGAATAGAGAAACAGGGCCAAATGGATAATGGGAAGCGCTTAACTTCCGCAGAGGCTCTGTGGGAGAAGTGTTCACCATATTGGCCTCTGCTGGTCATGGCATTTTGGAGATCTCAGGTGCTGTGAGAGCTCAGAGTGAAGCTTCTCCTCTAAGAAAACATTCTGGCACTTGTGTCTTGGTTTGGCGCTGTGTGATTGCAAAGTCTGCAGAGTGACGGGTGGCTAAGGTCAGAGATGAATGCATGCACTTAGCAAACATTTATTATAAACTCAATATTTTCAGAAAATTTGCTAGGTATTGTAAATAGACAAAACAGCAGAAATCCCTGCATTTGAAGAGTTGATGACTTGGTAGTGGGAAGGCAGGTGGGCAAGAGAAGAAAATATTAATGTATTACAATTAGGGATATTCTTTTAAACACATCTGTAGGAGACCATTCTGCATGGTGTGGGCCAAGCTCCCAGTGGAAAGCATAGTCTGATGCACAGGACCCACACCCACAGATAGGTTCTCCTATGGAGAATCAGGCCTGCACTGTACCTAGACTGCTTTGAGACTTGCTTTTGCTAAAACTCCCTCACCCTGAATTGAGACAGAAAGTGCTCACTGTGACTTCCTAAAATCTATGCTAAACCTTCCAAGGGTGAGTGTAATTAGTGTAACCGGTTCAACCACTTTTCCCTTTTCATTTGCAAATATCCTTCTTCTGTGATGTGATTAGCAGCATTGGCTCCTTTGTTTTCCATAAAAGGTAACCACCTAAAGCGAACCTATGCATAGTAAATGAGGACCATCATGTAATGTGCCATAAACGAAATAAAAGCCTGCCATGGCAGAGGCCACAGTTTTTTCTCCCCTTGAGAGAAAAAAGCCATGCTGTCCCTTTTCCTCTGCAGGACTCGGTAGTCCATGTGAATTTCTCATGCCTCATCCACAATGTGGACCCCATAAGCCAGGGTCCGCATCACACATCTATTATATCTATTTAACCCTCACCTGAGGACATGCTTGTTGATTTTAGAGAGAGGAGAAGGGGGAAAGAGGGACAAACATTGATGTGTGAGAGAGAAACCTCAACTGGTTGCTTCCTGTGCACTCCCCAACTGGAAATCAAACCTGCAACCTAGGTATGTGCTGTGACCAGGAATTGAACCCACAACTTTTTGGTGTAGGGGATGATGCTCCAACCAACTGAGTCACCCATCCAGGATGAGCACCTATTACATTTTAATTACCACTGAAGGTACTTAGAAAACTTGAATGAACAAAAAAAGATTTCCACCATTATGGAGCTTATATTCTAATAAGGAGAGACAGACATTAACAAATAATCAGAAACAAAATTATACCATTTGATTGGATGAAATAAGTGCTATAAAAAAGGAGCAGAAAAGGGATAGGAGTGTGCAAGTAGAGAGGAGTGGCACACTCTGTAAGTTAAAATAGGGTAGTTCGTAGGCCTCATTGGTAAGGGGGCATTTCTGCAAAGGTTGGGAGGAGACAAGGAAGTTAGTCACATGGATTTCCAGGGAAAGCATTTCAGCTATGATCGAAGCCTTAAAGGGCTCATATGCCTAAGCTTGGGGAAAGGAAAGAGAGTAGTGAGAGTTGAAGTCAGAGGGATAATGAGGAAGGCAGGTAGGGTACTACAGGACATTATAAGGGCTTTGAGTGAAATGGGGAGTCTGGAAGATCTTGTGCAGAAGAGTGGTGTGAGCTGACTTTTATTACAGAAGATGGTTCATGACCATGACAGCATAGGGGAGAGTGCCCTGGCCAAGTCTGGAAAGTCAGGGAGAACTTCTCACAAGAAGGCTTCCTGAATGTGGCAGGTTGAGTAAGGTTTAGTGAAGTACAGGTGCAGGATGGAGAACAGTGCAACAAATTTTCACCAAGGACATACCACTTCTTTATTGGCAGAGGTACACGTGTCCTCAGGAGCAGAGGATGCAAACGCAGAAATATAGGTGATGTTAAGAATGATATACAATATCCTATGATAGCACATTGAAGGAAAATCGACTACGACTTGAGATGGCAGGAAGGAAGATCTCCATGACAAAGATAAATAAACTGGTCTGAGAGATGAGAGTGAGGACACACATGTGAATATTAAATCCGTGGGTGAGATGGAGGAGCAAGGACAAAGAGAAGGGGGAAGATGAAGAAAAAAGGGTGCAGTTAAGCATCTCAAAGAAGTTATATCACAAAATTTAAAGAGGTCTTGAAGATATTGGAGAGATAAGAAAGAACCAGATGAGAGAAGAGTTTCCAAAATCTAGAACAACTGAAAGCTATTAGCCAGGGAAATAATATGCTTAAAATTGTAATGGGGAGAGATTAGTTGCCTTCAGTGTGAGCGAATGAATGGGAGAGGGTAAGACTAGTAACCTGGATGAGTCAAGTTTCAGTGGCAGCAATAGATAGATTTGAAAAGAACTTAGGAAAGAAAAATGACAATATTGATTGGTGTGGGATTGGATGTGAATGGAGAGGGAGAAATAGGTGATGATGATGCCTCGCTTTTTAGCAGGATTCTGGCAGCTACACATCACTCACTAACCCTGCAGAGACAGGAGTGACGGCTTTCCAGTGGATGTGCTAAGTTCAGTCTGAGATATATTGTCAGTCATCTGAGATGGCTTCAAGAAACATGAGTTGAGATCTCAACTGGTGGTTAAGTCAGGTCTGACATTCAGAATGCAGATTTGGGTGGGAGCCATTACATAGAGCTACTAGTTGGAGCTACAAGAATGAATGAAATGACCTGAGATGATTTTGTAGAGAGGGGAAAAAAAGAAAATCTGAAGACCAGCAGAAATGAGTAGAAAAGTTGGCAAGTGGATGAGTAGAAAAGTTGATTCAATAAAAGAGAAAGAAGTAGGCACAGGATAGGAGGAAAATCAGGAGCATACGGTGTCATCAAAATCAGCAAAAAGAAACCACACTCTTTCTGGGCCATGAGGTTAAAGCATGGAATGCGGTTGATGTAACCCACGTGAATTTCTCCAGATCTCAGGAAGTACACCTGGTCTAAACACGCTCAACCCACTCAGGCAAAACTGGATCCACCACCTTGAACTACATTCATCTTACAAGTAACACTGTAAAAATTACAATCCATATTTTTCAGCATATGAGTTTTTCTGTTAGACACAGATAGAGGAGGATTCAGCTGCTTCTAGAAGAGCATTTAATGCATCTAAAGTGCCCAGTGCCTTCAGAAAATAAACTGGCAGGTGGAAAAATGGGGTCCCTCATGGTGACAGTTTCAGAAGAGAATTCTATGTTAAGATGGAAAATCTGGATCCCTAGCACTCAGACACAAGCTTATTCAAGCTCATTAGAAAGATGGATGCTGTGGCAATGTGTGTGCAGCCACTCGAAGTTGAATTGCATTAGCTTCTCTTCTGGACTTGCTAGAGCAGATGACATATTCCTGTTGTAAATGTGGCATCACCTGGGCATTTTAGGAAAGCAGACAGCTTTGGAGAAAGTATCAGAACCAGTGCATTTCCTGGGAAGAATGGTTGTCCAACAGATACACTTGGCTGGACAGTGGATAAGCATGATGCTGAGGCCAGTGCTGACTCTGCTCTAACCTTTTCTGAGTGTGTGGTTCACCAGATCCCTGGGTACTGAGGTACCGAGTCATGGGAAGTCGCAGAGCAACCAAATTCCCACCTTAGAACCATGATCATCACAGAAGCCTCTCCTCAGATGTCCTCCACTACTCTAAGGTTAGAATTCCTGGGCCTGAATTGAGAATAATAAGTTGTTATTTTCATGGGGAGACATTAGAAGAACACAAGAGTGCTCTTCTGTGTTTCTCTGTAAAGTGGGTGGCTTTGAGAATTGATGAAACATCCTCTTGGAATAGCTTATAGTCCTCATGTAAAATATAAGTTTTACACTTAAAATACCATTTCTGGGAGTATTGGGAGTATTTCTACCTTTTTGTTCAGATGTATTTTCCTAAAGTCAATACAACACCAAAGATAAAACAACCAATAATGCCAAATTGAATCTGAAATATTCAGATGTCTTAGTAGAATCATGCTAAACAATAAGTCTCAATATACTACTGGATTAATAGTAGCAAATGCAACTCAAGTTACAATAATTATTTACAAGAGCATTTAACCTATTTTTCATTATTGCCCCCATGAAGTTTTTTTTATTTTTGATTAAATTTATTGGGTTGCTACTGGTTAATAAGGTCATATAGGAGGGTTCTAGTGCACATTTCTCTGACACATGATCTGCAAATTGCATTGTGTGTCTATCATCCACAGTCAAATTATCATCTATCACAGTGGATTTGACCCCTTTCACTCATTACTATCCCTCTATCCTCCCCCCCCAACCCTCTGGTAACCACCATACTTTTGTCTGTCTATGAGTTTCTGTTTGTTCATTTTCCTTGTTTGTTCATTTGTTACTTTCAGTTTTATGTCCTACATATGAGTGAAACTGTATGGCTCTTAGCTTTTTCTGTCTGACACTTTGCTTAGCATCATATTCTCAAGATCCATCCATGCTGTCACAAACGGCAGTATTCCATTTTTTCTTATGACTTAGTATATGAAGGCTGTCCAGAAAAAGTCCAGCCATGGTTAATAAGACGAGAACAGTTTGTGCAATACTGATGCAACCAGGAAGCCAAGGAGAGTGGCCCGGAACTTGCATCTACAAACAATGACGACCTCATTGTACTAGTCAGTGGGGCTGGTAGACACCACTGAATGACCATGTGTACTGTGTGGCCATCGCATTCAAAATGGCTAAGTGAACAGAGCAATGATTCTGCATCAAATGTTAGGTTAAGCCTTTACTATTTTTGCATGGAAACTATTCAGATGATTCAGAAGGCCACAGCTATGGG